ATTCATTATCGTGGACATTCTCCCGCAGGTGAATGTGAAAGAGAAAACGTCGTGGAGATAATAATTAAACATAACCATATTGCATTCTTTATAGTATTTCCCAAGATTACATCATTCCTTGATCAGCCAATCACAGTCAATGAAAGCACCTCCCTTATTCTACCATGCAATGCCACAGGGTACCCAAGCCCTGATATTCACTGGACCAAAAGGAAGGATTCTCTTCCAGACGATCGTCATACCTATAACGGCCAGTTTCTGAATGTTAGCAATGTTGTGTACGAAGATCGGGGGATGTACATATGTTTTGCTAATAACACCGTTGGTATGGTGAATAAGAGCGTCGAGGTTATTGTTCAAGGTAATTCGCTCTTGAAATTGACTGCCAAAACAGTTGCTAATTTTTTATTCTGTCACTAGTGAGTCCCAAGATTATTCAAAGACCAAGCAAATTTGAAACTGGTTACTTATCGCTTTCAAAACGTCTCAATTTTCAAGTTTTCTCGTTTCCTGAAGCAACTATTTCGTGGACGAGGCCTTTGTGGACCCTTCAAGATGATGACAGGTTTACAGTTGAGAATGGAAGTCTTGTTATAAGTAACGTTACGAGCACTGACCTTGGACTATACGAAGTAGTGGCCAGGAATTTAATTGGAGAGGTCAAAGCATCTACATTTTTGGTTGTGCGTCAGGCAGGTAATCATCATGAGTCGTCCTATTCATATTTACTTGCTTGCTTAATTAATTTGTTACTCGATTGCTTGCTTAATTGCTTGCCAGCGTCCTTGCTTCCCTCCCACCATCCCTCCCATAATGTTATTTGGGACTCTTTCCTTTCTTTTTTTTCTTCCTTCCTTTTTCTAATTATATAGCACTTCATGGCTAGTAAACATAATTAACATTTGAATTGGTATTTGTGTTCTGCAGTCGCTCCCTGGATAAGGCTTACTCCAGTTGAAGCAAAAGTCATAGTCGCACCTGGAGAACGTATTGAGAAAAAGTGTACCGCGTACGGTCGCCCAAATCCCATGATACTTTGGAAGCTAAATGGTCGTACATTGCTTAACACAACAAGCTCTAGTCTTACACTGAACATTTCCAGTATACAAGAAAATCAGTTTGGAAAATACTTATGCGAAGCGTCAAATGAATTTGGCAAAGCATCGCAGGAGTTTGAAGTCACAGGTACGAATTTGTTTATTTTATTTTTTTTTTTCGTTGTCTTGGCTGACAAACAGCCTGTCAAAGTGCACAAGTTCACTTCTAGTAATTGTAATTGTTGCCATATAAGAATTGTATGAGTTTAATTGCAGTTTTAATAACAAATTGTTCGGCTCAAAAGCTCGATGATTAATTGTTCTACCTTTAACCACGTTATTTTTTTATTTGTTTGTTCATCTTTAGTTGGTTCAACATTCAAAACACGATCATCAAATGAAGTCGAGTACTAATTATCAAATAAATCATTAAATTTCAGTAATACTGTTAAATGTTGTAAGTGGTTGTGAGCACAGTAAAATCGACAGCAGCAGTGGTTACATCAGGACACCTGGGTACCCTGGAAGAAAATCAAATTCATATTCATGTACTTGGACAATTTCCTCTAATTACCAAGTTCGTCTTACTTTCGATCGCTCAAAAGTGAACTCCAATGATCTAGTAATTCTTTATGATGGTGGCTCCAGTTCTTCTAAACAAATTGGGTCTTATAGGGGAAGTTCGCCGTTCGCCATATCTGTCACCAGTTCTTCCAAAAAGTTACATATAAAGTTTATTAGTGTATATAATGGATACTATTCGTATACATATAGAGGTGGATTTTCTGCTAAGTATGAAGGTACACGATAGTATAACCCCTTCCTTAGACCCAACTTATACGCCGAACTTCACATGTGCAGAAAAGAACTCGCAAATTATACCCATGTGAGATGCGATGTATGAATCAATTAAATTCGACAGTTAACGTTTTGAATAAATACGACTTCAGCCGAATCTGTGACTGAACCAATCGATACGGCAATCGTGCCATATTTAATTTTTACGTCGTATCTCACATTTGCGAATGATATGTATACTTCTAGTTTGATTAAAATGAATGAAGACTTATCCACCACTCGTATTGGGGGTGAGAAAGCTGTATTCGACACTTAAAATTCGAAGTCTACATAAAATGCAGTACTGATTCAATCATTTTAACGGACTAAAATAGGAACTGAACTGGGTACATATGAAGTTTGGCGTATAAACTAGGCCCTCACTCTCATTCGTTGCATATGTTAAAAAACATGCATACCCTATATATATAATATATATATATTGGAATGCATTCTAGCAAAAACTCAAATGTTTGAACGTGTTCCTGTTTTCTGTTGCTCATCTAGCATTATTTTGTGTAATTTAGTAATTTGTATTTCATGCTCTTATGAAAATCACTCTTTTGCAATATTATATTTTATATTATCATTTCATATTTATATTCTATATTGCTTGCAGAGTCCTTAATTGACGACAAATTAATCAAGTGAATGGTTTTATTTTATTTCATTGTAATTTTTTTGCAGGGATCTTATAGATCGAGTAACATGTGAAAAAAGGAGACTTCAGTTTGGTTTATTCATTCAAAGGGTTTGGGAAAGTCTGGTGGCTGCCATTTTGTGTAGCAAAGCATGATGGTAGCTGTAGTCCTCGTGCTTTTTTTCGCAGTAATTGCGCATATTGCATGAGCTTTTACACTTCGATTAGCTAAGTGCAAGTTGATCTTTTTGCCTCACCGCTTCTTTTTTTCTTATTAACAGTCATGTAAGCATAGTCAATAAATGGTAAACAAAACACACTTTATACTTGGCTTATACACTGTTTTTGATCAGTGCCGAACTAAAAACGGAAGAATTTTTTCCTTGCGCACAATCAAAGCTGTTGAGTAATACGTATTTCATGTTCAATTTGACTTTGCTATCATTATCATTTAATGCTTAGCCAGGGGGGATTCAATTTTCTTAAATTAGTTTTGATTTCCAAAATTATTATTCTTCTCTTGAAATGGCAAAAAAAATTCAGTACTTTATCCAGTACAAAATTGTCCTTTAACTTAGTGTGAGCAATAAATAATCATGTATAATACAAATATACAATATAATCAGACTKCACATAACTCTCGAGACGGCAATCTGTGAACAACTTTCCCGAACTCCTGACGGAGGATCGGCGACGACATCYGTCTCTTAATAACATCGATCCACTAGATCGACTGATAGATAGGTTGAGGGCAATTTACACTGTACGAAAGTCGCGTGCAAATTGTAGTATACGATTTTGCTATGACCGTTTTTCAAAACCCTACTACAAATCATAGGGGCATTWACACGGTGCGATTTGGAGCTCATTTGAGTCGTGTACTACAAGTCGCACGCGACAATCGTACCATGTAAATTTTCCTTTAATCATATCTTTGCTTCTAATCACAGCTAATCGTCTTCTTCATCAATATTCTTCTCCGAAGGTTCTCCAAACTTCAATGATTCCGTACTGATCGTCTTAAAATGACTATCGACCTTTTCAGCAATGGATTTAATCAAACTTGCTTGAGCGTCCATTGCATTTACTAAGGCTTTGATCTGCCGTCTGTTCTTTTCTAATGTTTCCGCCATAATGTTCACGTTGTTCTCTTCTCGCTCAGAAGTTTGTTCGCCTGTAGTTGATGTAAGGTCTTTCAGGGCTCCTTGAAAGGATGYCTGGAGCTTTTTYAATCTGCATATAAAGAWTGGCATGATAAGMATTGGTRTAATCCAAGCGGGAAGATCTACTGTGGCTTGACGACAGTACACAMGTAGTCATGTGATTGTGATAGGCTGGTTGGGGACAAGAAGTATTACTTATTCCCACTCTTATTAAAAGACCGAAACCAGAGAACATTTGCGCAATTTTCTCACGAAAAATCGCAATCTTCTTCCAATTTTTTTTATTTTGAACCGATTAGAAAGCAACTTTCAACAAGAGATCATTTATAAGAGAAGGACACAGGAATGAAGTCGAGCGTGCAATGACATAAGCATAGCTATTARCAGAACGCCAAGCATAAGGAAATGACCGAAGCACAAGTATTGGCAAACACCTTGCTTTTGTCTTCTTCACCACTTTTAATCCCCAAATTGCTTGCGGGTTTTTTGAGCTTATGCTTAACTTGCAATGAACTGAAGTGCAACGACTCTAAAATTACTATCGTAGACAATATATCATACCTCCAAGAAATTGTCTTTTTATTTGGCATGACGTCAATGATAGGCTTGTACAGTCGCCTTGTGATGAACCTTGGGTATTTTTCTTCGATCTCAGCAACGAATTCTACTTGCATGGATAGTCTTTGTAATTCTGCACTTCTTTGGACGTTATCAATGTCGCCAATTGCCAGACCAATCTAAAATACAGAAAATGTTAAATGATAATCGTCGAGTAGCCCTCCATTTGATCTGCATGGAGAGGGAGAAAAAGAGGGCCGTTGAAATACAAAGATTTTCATATGTTATACTCAAGTTAAATGGAGATTTAGAAGAGAAAACATTATGAGAAGAAGATGAAGGAACAGGGACAATCAGTTGAAGGGAAAGAAGAATCAACAAACAAACACTGATGACAAGAAGAAGACATCACGATGACGGTATGGTTTTACATCTCTTGAAACTAGAGTCGATTTTGTAGGGCACAGAAACAACATTTTTTTCGCAACTTTATTTGATAGTGGTGAAATGAAGCTTGATGATTTCTCGATTCATTATTTTCCCTGGCATCGCTACCATGCAGTGTGAAGCTCCGTGTAGATGTGCCGTTTAATACAAAATCTAGTCTATTTTAGTCAAATATATATCATTTTAAGCATTGAATTCTATCAATGAATCAATAAAACGGCATCAGTCAAACTAGGCTTAACAACATATTATGTAGCTAATTACTTACTAATAAGTTCATGAGAGTCACGCACATCACGCTCATAAAGATTCCTGCAAACACAAATGCAGTTTCTGGAAATGGATTGAGCGGATGTCCTGTAATTTTGTTATTTTCGCCGATTGAATCAATGAAGGTTGAGGTAAAATCCATTTCCCCTATGCTCATTGCTATTGTCTTGACCGTCGCGTAGCCCAAATTACTGAATGCGGGCTGAAAACACATTAAAAAGGTACGTTTCATACAAAAGTCTTGAAATTGGTTATTTGCAGAGCAATGTTTAAAGGCCCAGTGTGCACCATTATGCTTTGGGGGCCGCGATGGCAGTTTGCGGAAAGTCTATTGTACTGCGTGTTTCGAATCTCTTACCATCTCACTTTTCTAAGAACTTTAAACGCTACTACAAGAATTTTCAACCATCTGCAATTCGTTTTATGGTGATATTTGAATACTAGAAGTATTTTAGTATAAATCATAACAATAACAGAGGCGCAAAAAGCATAATGGTGCAAACTGGGCCTTTTAAAGTGGAATATAGAGCGGATTTCGTATGAGTGGGAAACGGACGGTACTGTACTGTGACCGTAATCGTACTGTAACCAAATTCTAGTGCCCCATTGTTTCACCAAAATTCTGCAGGCCAGGTGCGGTAACTGTGCGGTAACCGTGCGGTAACGGTGTCCCACTCATACGAAATCCGCTCTAGTGAAACCTTTTAAAATAAGTAACCGATACCTGTTCTTTGAGTAGAATGTAGAATACAACAGCAAAGGCTATGAGGAATTCCAGGAACACCACCATTACCCTTATAAGGCTTCGAAATACCACAATGAACATTGTTATATATATCCCGAACAGCGTGAAGCGGCGTAGGAACAAAACAAAGTTGGCATAACAAAGGAATATTGATATTATAGCGATTATCCACATGTAGTAGACGTCGTTCACCTCGCGATAGATGGATTTATAGATTATGGATGGACCAACGTACGGTAGCACAAAGAAAATGCTGGCGCTGTAAAGCACCCACTCCATATAATTACCACTCTGTTAGAAAATAAATTAATGATTTAATATTCGAGGTTGAAAGCAGGGAGCATTGTGCGCAAATCAAATTAAGCATTACTCGTGCAATTTTGGAGTCGCTTTCTGGAGACCCCTGCGCACGCCTTTGGGAATCATACTTAGTATACAAAGTAACTGCTGAATATCATGGCATACTTTCGATCAAGCGATTCCCAAAAGAGGAAGACAAGTGCAGTGTATATCAATCAATCAACTCACTAATTACGTTCAATTAAATATTTACCTGTTTGAAATATCGCAGTCGCTGCCCGAAGATTTGAATAACTTCTCTGAAAAGCTGAAAGGCCGCAAAGGCGATGATCATTATAGCAATCCTATAGTTGGTTGTACTAAGAGTGTAAATCTCGGAAATTTTGACGGTGGAAAAGTTTCTCGGAAACTCTCTCCCTCGTTCTACAACCACAAAGTAGCTATAGCCTGTCATGTACCAAAAGTACAAAAACAGGCTCAAGTAATAGATTTTGCTCCCAAAGGACTGCCACTTTATGTCCAACAACTTTTGTGTTAGTGGATGGAGCAATAGATCTTGACGTTTGTTATTCACCATTGTCGCCGGGCCAAAGTACCGATTGCCTGCGAGACAGTCGGGGTCGTCAGGACCTGGATCGAGAAGTTCAAAGTCGTAACTGACTTTATAGTCTTCGTGTGTTGGAAGGATGTTTGTGGATCGACATATGCATTTGCTCATGATAACATTTGCCGCTTCAGGAAAATGCTTGATGAGGATTTGCATTGGACGTTGGCCTTGGGCACTGCATGTGTTGTTAACAACTTCTTTGTATCTTTAAAATTGAAAGAATTATACAATATAGGCTTACATTTAAAGAATACTCTTCTTGACGGTAGCCGTGCCATTGGATCGAAGCGAGACGACTGTTGGGCGTGCAATGATAGAAACCTTCTTTCACACCTACAGACAAATATTCACAGGTTTCTATCACTGCACGCTCAATGCAAAGGATCGGCTACATTTCAAGATGGCGCAGGGAACCGTGAAGGAGACTATTGCCGATTATTCGTGAGCTTGTAGTGCTAGTAGATGTTGACGTGTTACATGCTGGTTTTGAAGCTTACCTTTCATGGCGACAGATGACATTAACAGCTTCCTTGGCATCGAATTTCACAGCAGTCTCAAACACCCCCGCACCAGTGAGATCGCGATGTGTGAGTTTAACATTTCGATCCATCAACAACTGAACAACTTCACTATTATTTGTACGCACTGCACACAACAGAGCAGAATCTCCATCGACAGTTGTATCATCGATGTTGGCATTCAGCTTTAACATGGTTTTAACGGTTTTTGCGCAACCTGACTCGGCAGCAAGCATCAATGGAGTTTTGTCGCGGTTGTCTTTACAGTTCACATCAGCACCAAAAGACACAAGAGCTTTACAAACCTTCCTACATGACGTTAAGAATGATTTGCAAAGGATGAGAGAAGGCTTTCAGAAAGAAATAGTCCAATGGAACAAGGGATAAAGAACATGCAGGAAGAATGGAAGGAAGAGGAAGTTTCAACTCCATCTATGTTACACTATGTACGTCATTCAAATGAAAAAGACAGTACACAGGATGGATCACAATAAAATGGCAGTAGAAGCTGCACATGCTACTTCATACCTACCTGTTTTCTTGCCTAGACGCGGCGGCGTGCAAGGCCGTCCTCCCTTCGTCATCTCTGTTATTCAATGAAGCACCAGCTTGACCCAAAGCGTTTACGTGCTCAAGTCTGTTGCCCTTCGCCGCGAGGTAAATTGCAGTTTTTTGGTCTTCATCTTGCAAATTAAGGAATTGTTGTTTAGTCAAAAGTAGTTTTAATACCTGCAAATAATGATATATCTTGCTTTAGGCATTGCTTCCTCATATGACGCCGTACTAATTCGTAGAAAAGACCATTACTAAAAAATATTGCGTGATGGAAAATTAAAAAGAATTCATGTTAAACAATGTGGTCATACGGGAAAATGTTATAGGGTATTAGCCTCTTTTGGCTGAGAACTCCATCRMAAGGTTTCAATATATTAAAMTTGTAGTTTCTGTAGCGTACCTTAAGGCTWCCACTTTTGGCGGCATAATGAAGAGGAACCCTTTCATTTACATCTGATGAGAATAGATTGTTCACTGCATCATCATTTCCCAGGAAAAACTGAATCAAATCGTAATTCTCGCTTTCTACTGCAAGATGTAAACAATTCTTCATGAACGCCTCGCTAGCATTAGCGTCCGCTCCTGCCTCGATGAAAAGTTGGAGAGTGCTGGGTTTTGCCTTCGGTTTGGAAGAGRCCAGRAGGAATGGTGTCATGTTTTTAGMATCTCGTGCRTCGACCTGTGCTCCCTTGTCTATTAAAAACCTGATTATATGATCGTGGCCACCCACTGCAGCGCTGTAACAAACAAGTAAATTCAATTTTAAACAAARGAGGGGGCATGCGCAATAATGGGTATATGGAGTAGAACAGAGATGGTTTTCCACAGCTTTGATGACCTTTGATGAGCCATGGATCATATATGAGTAGAATATGTTTGTTATATTAAGTTGTATTCCTTTTCAATAATGTTATTCTGAAAGTTGAATAACGGTATGGGACATGCCATATTTCATGTGACCGAAACATATTKAGAATTGACCCCATCGTCAAATAAACAAATATCCTTTTTTTAAGGATGAATGAAAAAGTCATTTAGAAAAGTAGAAAGAGCCCTTCTCCCAAGATTACCATATTCCCACGGTATAAAACCTTCCGTCGAYTACTTAAATTGGCAAAACTTTCCATGGAGTCCTCCTTTGTAAAACTTACAAATGCAATGGTGTCTGCCCCTGYAAAGTTTGGATGTGTATGTCAGCACCACCCYGTACCAAAAGCTCTGCCATTTCCAGGAAACCCTTCCGACAAGCTGCATGTATTGGTGTCATTCCATTGAGGACATTRGCCACATTAACATCTACTCCACGATCAATTGCCTTTTTCATGACTTCAATGACGTTGGTAGCAGCAGCAATGTGAGCAAAGGTAAATCCATTCATTTCGTACCTATTGGATATAAAGCACTTTTCTGGTGCCGTCTGAAAAACTG